TTTAGGATGGACTGGTTGGATCTCCTTGCAATCCAAGGGACTCTCAAGAGTCTTCTCCAACACCACAGTTCAAACGTATCAATTTTTCAGTGCTCAGCTTTCTTTATAGTCCAACTCTCAACATCCATACATGACTACTGGAAAAAACCATAGCTTTGACTAGACGGACCTTTGTTGGCAAAGTAATACCTCTACTTTTTAATATGCTGTCTAGGTTGGTCATAGCTTTTCTTCCAAGGAGTAAGTGTCTTTTGATTTCATGGCTGCAGTCATCATCTGCAGTGATTTTGGAGCCCCCCCCCCAAAATAAAGTCTCTCAGTGTTTCCATTATTTCCCCATCTATTTGCCATGAAGAGATGGGACTGGATCCTCATGACTGTTTCCCTTTAAAACATTCTAAAATGTACTCAAAACAACAGTAATTAATACTTTGTGGGATTACTATGGTGCCAGGCACTACTGACTTTTACACGTTATTTTCTTTTCAACTCTTCATAATTGCTCCTGCTTGAAATAACTTCCCAAGGTTGTTCAGTAGGAAAGTGAGACAAGATTTGAACCCTAGCAACCGGGCTCAGAGTTGTGGTAGTCTAGGCTATATAATCTCCTACATTGTTCTGCCACCTTGTTTCACAGGCATGTCGGGGTCTGACTCTCCTCTCCCATGGATGGCTTGGTTGTACTGAGTCTTTTCTGAGTTAAGCTACCTCAGTATCCCTTTCCCTGAGCTGGTGGTGTACTGAAAATGTGAATGGTGGTTATAAGGTCAATAAGCTGAAGAAGTGGATCCAATGAGTTATTAGACAACAGGTCCTGAGGATAAAACTGAAAGCTGGTGTGGAGATCAAAGAATTTCTAAGCCACAGATCCATGAGGACAGACTAACAGAAGGGTGGTCTGGATACGGCAGCAACTGCTATGGTCCATCTTAGCCTTCATGTGCTCCCTACTGTGTGATGCTTACATGGATGGGCGCTTTAAGGGCCTGGGGCTAAATGGCGAGCTTGGAGTGTACCATTTCCCCCCTTGTCTGGCAGACTCTGATGTATATTTCCAAATCTAGCTTTACCATCATTCCTACATCTTCTGGTCAACGTTTAGGTCCTTTCCCTGTGCTTCTCACACTGTTTTGGATCCTGCAAATTCTTTGAGGGCAATCACCATGGCTTTTTCTTTGTGCTCTATGCCACTAGAATCTAATAACCACAGACTCGAAATGGGTAACAGGCAGGCAGATTCTGGCTAAGCATGAGAGAAATTTTTTAAAGTATAGTTTAACTACAAATTAGTGACTAAGAGCCTGGCCTTTGCGTAATACTACATTTAGTCAAATGTCAGCTTTCTCTGTTACCTTGAGCACTTTACTGTCTGTGCAACAAAAAATGGAGATGATAATATCTATGCCATCAAGTTGTGAGATTTAAATGAGATAATACACGGAAAGAACTTGGCTCAGGGCCTGGCACCTTGTAAGTACTTGGTAAGGTTAGATATTGTTTTTTTCTATCATTGTTATATGATTATTTACTAACACTATCTCACAATACAGTGGGGTGCTTCAGAAGCAGTGTGTGTGTTAGTCACTCAGTTGTGTTCAACTCGTTGTGACCCCGTGGACTCCACTAGGCTCCTCTGTCCACCGAATTCTCCAGGCAAGAAAAAGGTTGCCATTCCCCTCTCCAGGGGATCTTTAGGACCCAGGGACTGAACACTCATATCCAGCATTGCAGGCAGTAAGTTCCCTTTTAATGAAGGTATTCAAGCAGTAGTAAATAGGGAGAGACGCTTTGGAAGCATTTATGACTGCTAAGGATGCTTCTGATCATAGAGGAGGGAAGCTATTTCTCTGATTCAAAAAAAGTGTGATCATTAGTGTTATTTCTAGCGAAGATGAGAAGTGTTAGAATAGAAAAAAAAATCAGTTTGGACTGTATGTATGTATTAGTATTACAAAGAACAAAATATTTTATTCTTTGTTGACTGCAAAAGTCCTTTTATTTATGTTGTAACGCACATGGCAAATCAGGCCCTTACATACAAATCCATGTCTTTTCAAAAGGACTAGTTTGGCCCTGCCAAAATGAAACAAACAAAACTTTAAAGACTGTTCCAACCCTACTGAAATGTCTTTTCCCTTTGAAAGAAGTCTATTAGCGATGCAAATACAAAGTTATCTCCACAGATGATAATCCTCACAAACAAAACAGTGAAACCATTAGAATGTTCTTTTTACAGAGTTCAATCCTGAGACTTTGTCTTTTCAGCTTAAAAAGGCAGAGAAGGAGAGCAGAACTGGTTCCTATTTGGGATAGTTTATTAGATCTGCTTATCTAAACCCTGGGCTAATTATCCTCATGTTTGGCTTAAAGAAGCCAAACAATTCTCCAAAAGTGGGCAGGCTGAAGAAAGGTATGCACTCTGGGCAAGTGCCTTAAACAGACCCAAAACAGGGCCCTTGGCCATGGAATAATATTTATAGTCAGGAGTTTAATTCTGAAGATACCAGAGGCTTAGAGTAGATCCATCTAGAAAAAAACCCAGTGGTAAGTATTCATACAGTGGCAATTTAAGTAATATGTTCATGGTATAATATGCTCATGGTACTGATGCTTTCAAATAATTAAAAACTAGATAATTGACTCTACTTGTATAGGCGAAGAGATGGTCATTTCCCAACATCTTTTAGTCAACAAACAACTTTGAGAATTTAGTAAACATGCAATCTTACTGTAAGCAAAGGGACTGAAAAGATAAAAATGAAGCAGTTTAGTTCGTTTGACTATCATTTGATGATACTTATATGGTCTTTCATCCCACGGACAGAGAATCTGGCAGGCTACAGTCCATGGGGTTGCAAAGAGTCGGGACTGAACGACTAACACACACATAGTTTTCCCAGTAGTTATGCATGGATGTGAGAGTTGGACCATAAAGAAGGCTGAACACTGAAAAATTGATGCTTTCAAACTGTGGTGCTGGAAAAGATTCTTGACAGTCCCTTGGACTGCAAGGACATCAAACCAGTCAATCCTAAAGGAAATCAACACTGAATATTCACTGGAAGGACTGATGCTGAAGCTGCAGCTCCAATACTTAGGCCATCTGATGTGAAGAGCCAAAACTCATTGGAAAAGACCTTGATGCTGTGAAAGGTGGAGGGCAGGAGAAGAGGCCAACAGAGGATGAGATGGTTGGATAGCATCATCGACACAATGGACATGGGTTTGAGCCAACTCTGAGAGATCGTGAAGGACAGAGAAGCCTGGTGTGCTGCAGTCCCTGGGGACACAAAGAGTCAGACTACTGAGCAACTGAACAATTTTATCCTTAACAGGTTTGACAATACCTAGCTTCTCAGGGAGCCTCGAGCCATTAGAGAATATGGATGGTCAGAGGGTGCGGTGCCTAAGGGTATCAGGAAAGCATTTCTGAAGCAAAACTCCCAAGTAGTACTTCGGACATGGCCGTCACAGATTTACTTGATTACTGCTGTTGGAAATGCCTACTGGGCTCTTCCCAGGTGGCCCTGGGGGTAAAGAACCTGCCTGTCAATGCAGGAGACAAGAGACACAGGTTTGATCCCTTTGTCAGGACGATTCCCTGGAGAAGGGCATGGCAATCCACTCCAGTATTCTTGCCTGGAGAATCCCATGGACCGGGGAGCCTGGCGGGCTACAGCCCACGGGATTGCGAAAAGTCGACAGGACTGAGCAACTAACACAATGGGTAGTTTCCTGAGAAGGGAAAATTAACCCTCGATACCCACAAGTTTTCTTGGACAGCTAATAAGAGTTGGAGCTGGTGTCCACATACATGGGGTGCAATGGGATGCAATCTGGGTCTTAAGCAGGGTGGAGCTTTGGGTTGTTGAACTATAGAGCTTCCGGATCATCATGCGTTGACATGTCAGGTGCGAGAATGGAGTTTGTCCACCCTCCACCTTTCATCCCCACCCCACTCTCCTTTGCAAAGGTTGCTTGACGGCTTGCTGGTCCCTCCCCCATCTGTGATAATCCAGATGCCTCGTGAAGCTGATGGTCAAGCGCTGCTTTAGTTCTAGACTCTGCCTGTCTCCCACGCCCTCCACGCGTTCGGCGTGTTTCCCACCGCCTACCTACTCCACCTGCCACCCTGGCCGCCCTCCTGGCACGTCCTCTTTGGCACCGCGGCGGATCAACTCCACCCGCCCGAGCGTCGGGGGTCGGAGTCAGCACAGCTCACTTTTTTCAAGGGCTTTCCTCAGGACACCTTGCCAGCAATCCCAGAAAGTCTATGGTATTCGGTTGTGTCCTATTTCTGGTTGCGTCTCAAAAAAAAAAGTTCGAGACACCATCTGCAAATTCAAACTACTACCTGCTCAGGATGGGAGCCTAAGGAGGCGACGTCAAACTTTGTCGTGGGGGAAAGACAAGCGAATAGGCGCTCCTCTAAGCCTGTGCCCACCCACGGTCCCAGGGACAGGCGAGCTTTTCTGGCGCGGCCTGGCTGGCGGCGGCCGCACACTGGTCCGCCACCCAGGGAAGCCGCGGCCGCTTGGGCCGGTAGGGCCCGGCCACCCGCCCGCGCTCGGCAGGCGCGCGGAGCCGGAGCGCGCACGGGGCGGGCTGCGCGCGGGGCCGGGGAGCGCTCCCTCCGGGATCGCGGCTGCGCAGTCGGGCGGGAGCCGGGAAAGGGGAGGAGGGTGGTGGAGCCGGAGTAAGGGGAGGGGGAGGAGCGGCCAAGGCGGAAGCCATGTTGGAGTTTCACCCCGAGCTAGGGGCTGCGAGCGTCCTCCGGTCCGTGTGGGTGTGACCCGGGATCGGCGCCGCGGCGGGCTGCGGGGGGCGGGGACGGTTAGGCCGGTGGTTGTCGTCCGCGGCGGCGGCCGTAGCGTGGAGCCGGGCAATTGTGACCACCGGGGGGAGCCGGGGGCCGGCCGCCGCTCCCACTCTCCGTGTGGCCCCCTGAGCGCCCCCCCTCCCCTGGCCGGGAGGGAGGCGGGGGGCACCCGGGGCCCGCCATGAACCCCGGCTTCGATCTGTCCCGCCGGAACCCGCAGGAGGACTTCGAGCTGATTCAGCGCATCGGCAGCGGCACCTACGGCGACGTCTACAAGGTGAGGGCGAGGGGCCGCGCGCCGCCGAGGCCGCGGGGCGCTGACCCGCCGCGGGGAGGGCGGGGGGCGCCGGCGAGCCGGGGCGCCGGAGTCCGCCCAGCCTGTCGGCGCCCGAGAGCTGTGGGGGAGGAGGCGCGGCGGGCGCCCAGGGCTCCGTGGCCGTGCAGCGAACAAAGGGCCAGACGGTTAACCCTGAGACCCCCGCGTCCTTACCTGGATCTGCCCCGGACGCGCGTTTCCCGGGAAGCGCTGATCGGCGGCGGCAGCTCTGCTCTTGACCCCGTTGAGAGGGTCTGCGCGTTTGTTGCTTTGGCAGGGGCAGTGCGACCAGCAGGACGACAGGGGTTTGGCGTGTGTCAAACCTGCGTGCTCCGCACGGACCCGGGATGTTCCGCGCTGGGTGGGCATCTGCAGCCCACCAGGCCCGGCGATGGTCATTACTCTGGGCAGTCTCATCCACCTTTGTTTTCTTAGCATCCGCATACCAATTTCTTTCAATTTTCCAAGTAATGACTTTCTTTTGTAAAAGAAATCTGGTTAGCATGACTCCTTTCTCCCTTTCTTTTGAAAGAGCAACTTTTTCTCCAACTCAAATTGGATTGTGATACCTTATTAAACTTGTTTCTGTCAGTGACACATAGGATTCAACTCTCTTTTGTTTTTTTTTTTAAGTGACTTGAACACTGGAACACTTTTTTTTTTTTTTAAGTGACTTGAACACTTAGGGGAGGTACTGGTTTGACAAGGTTAGAATTCAAAGTCCATTAGTAGCACAGCATTCCTGTTGTAGAGGGACCACTTCTAAATGTGGGAGATAAATCATGCTTCCTTGGCCAGCTCAACTCTTGGCCTCGCAGAGGCTGCCAAGAAGAGGACGCTCATGCCAAATGTGGCAGCAGTCTTGATTTGGTTGTGTATCTTCTTACTGGTAACTGAAGTGGAACTCCTCCTGTTTCACATAACACCTGAGGATGCGTAGAGAAACTTAAGTTTACTTTGGAAAGTTGAGTCTTCACTTTGTTTTGCCAACGTTTAAGTAGAAGATTTTTACTTTGACGTCACTTGTAATGCATATGGTAACTTAGATATTCAGTACAATGCAACCAGTATTCTGCAGGAGTCTTGTTTTGTGAATGAGTCGCTTTCCTTCCCACTCATCTCACCACTTGTCTCCATAGACAGCACGGGTGTCTTGTGTATGCCTACTGTGTATAAGGGTTTCCCAGGTGTCCTAGTGGTAAAGAATCTGCCAGCCTTTGGAGGGTTCAATCCCTGGGTGGGGAAGATCCCTGGAGTAGACAATGGCAACCTACTCCAGTATTTTTCCCTGGAGAATCTCATGAACAGAGGAACTTGGAGGCTATAGTCCATGGGGTCCCAAAGACTTGGACACAACTCAAGAGACTTAGCAGGCTGGCACTGTATATAAAGTACTGTGTCTATGTAAGCACTTGGGTCATAGCACTAAAAGAGGGATAGTCTTCCCAAGTCTTACTTGTTTACATTTTTTGGACAAGAACAACAGTAAACAGCCATTTAAATAACTGTCTTATTGCAATTTCCTTTTGTGCTGCAGAGAAGAGAGGATTAGGATTAGGGCTAGTAGAGCATGTACCGGGGGGACCTCATTTCCTCAGGGGGAGTCAGAGGCAAAGGTGAGAGGGGATTGTGCCAGATAGAAGAAGCATGATCTGGGAAGGCGTGGAGGCCCCAGGGGCAGGGTGAGGATTTGAAAGAAGGCCTGTATGGCCTGAGTAATCATAGAGGGAGAATGACCCTAGATTGAGCAGGCCTCTTATTAGGTCCTCCGAGGAGGGACTTCTCCCTAGGACAATAAGGAGTCATTCCTGGATTTTAAGCAGAAGAGTGAATTTAGACTTGGATTTTTACAAGCTTTATCACTGCATTGTGGAGGGTGGAGATGGGGGACAGAGGTGAATAGCAGTTAGGAAGCCACTGTAAGAATAACCATTATGTTACTGTGTTTGGAATTTGTAGTGATTGTGAAAGTTGAAGTGAGTGAATCCAGGTAACTTAAGAGTTGGTTAAGGGAAGTCTTGTATTGAGATGAAAAGTTAACTGAAACTTTGCTAATGTGTCAGTCTTAGATGGCGGTGTGGACAGTAAGTTCTTTATCAGTTCTTTACAAGAATAATTGGTCATGTATTTACTGTGTTTAGAAAAAACAGCTGGTAGTTAAGCCACATGATTTAAAAAAAAAGAAAATTCAGGCCTGTAATTTCCTCAGGACATCTAAGTGCAGTACAGGTATAAGTTGATTAATTTTGTCATCTGTTTAAAGTAACGATAATAGAAGTTAACATTTATAGAGTTACTTGCCAGGCACTGCTCTAAGACTTCGTCCTGTATTAACTTACTTAATCCTTACAACAACCCGTGGAAGTAGACTCTGCTATTAACTCCATTTTGCAGTAGAAGAAACTAAGGTACGGGGAAGTTGCAGTAACCTGTCAAAGATAGTAAGTGGCCAAGCCAGAATGTGAATCAGTTTGCTTTAGGGACTGCATTCTTAATTCTTAACTTAATACATGGGCAGATCATGTTTTATCGAAGTGAAGACACAGAAGCATACAACTTAGTTCAGCATTTCGTTGCAGCTGCACTCTGGGTCAGAGAGGATCTTCAAGTAGTAGTTAGTATACCTAACTCCTGCTGTGCAGCCAGGCCTCACTGTTTTTGTAGAGTTTGCCAACTGGACATCATATAGATGCTTGATCCCTGCCTGCCAGACTCTTCTAGTACCAGGGACCCAAAGCAGAGAAACTCTACGTGGTTTTTGGCATCACATCCCCAGTTTGCTGAACCCAAAGCTTAAACTGTTTGTATTTTTGTCTATACATAATCATGTTCATGCTATAAAGATAACAGATTTTTTTTTGGTGTTTGTTTTGCTCTTTTGATTTTCCTTGTTTATGCAAATTGTGTTAATTAGAGAGGAGTGCATTAAAGGATTTTTTTTTCAAAAGTCAGTAGTTTGCTCCTTAATTTATCAGTGTTTCGGTGCTAAAAATGGAATGATCCAATTAAGTAAATAAGTTAGAGGCTTAATTATGTGCAGTCATTCTTAGAGGGTTGGTGTTTTAAGGGATTTTTGTTTTGAAAGCTATAGCCTATGCAGTGTAATAATATGCTTATTATATTTAAGGTGGTGTGTTTTGGCTATAAAGTATTGAGCTAGGATGTGGAAGCCGAGAAGGAAATGGCAACCCACTCCATTATTCTTGCCTAGAGAATCCTGTGGACAGAGGAGCCTGGTGGCCTACTGTCTATGGGGTCGCACAGAGTCGGACACGACTGAAGTGACTTAGCATGCATGCATGCACTGGAGAAGGAAATGGCAACCCACTCCAGTATTCTTGCCTGGAGAATCCCAGGGACAGAGGAGCCTGGTGGGCTGCCGTCTGTGGGGTCGCACAGAGTCGGACACGACTGAAGCGACTTAGCAGCAGCAGCAGGATGTGGAAGAGCTGGAATTTATTAGCTCTGTAGCCTTGTAAAATCATTTCGCCTCTCAGGGCTGTTTTGGTTTGAAGGTATTACTACCATCATGTGCCCTTCTGTTTGTAGTGTTAAATAACTTATGTCAGTCAACAAGTTTTAATTGTTTTAAGACCAAAAAAATACAGATAATACATTTCCTCTGCACTATCTTGGGCTTCCCAGGTGATGCTGGTAGTAAAAAACCCGCCTACCAGTGCAAGTAGATGTAATAGACACAGGTTCGATACCTGGGTCAGGAGGATCCCCTGGAGGAGGGCATGGCAACCTGCTCCAATATTCTTGCCTGGAGAATCCCATGGACAGAGGAGCCTGGCGGACTGCAGTCCATAGGGTCACACAGAGTCAGACACGACTGAAGCGACTTAGCATGCACTGCACTGTCTTAAAGTACATGAACATATAGTTTAAAAAGAACAGTCATAATACTTTTAAATGTCTTGTAACTCTGGGTTTTATCTGTCAGGTGAAGTATCTGTAGCAAGAGTTACCTAGGGACCTGTGAGTTGACAGCTAAAAGGGGCTCTTTGATTGAGCCTCAGGAGGCCCTTGAAATCCTCTGAAATTAATAGACTTAACATTGTATGTTTGTGTGTTTTTCTGGAGAGATGGCTTTTGGTATTATTACGTCTTCAAAGAGGTCCATGATCCTAAAAAAGAAAAGAATGGAGAGCTGTAGGTTTGTCATTTGAAAGCGATTTCTTGGAGAGGTTAGGCAGTTATATGCCATATCACATTACCAGCATTTGTTAACATTAGTATGATTTCCACATGCACTATGCTGTTTTTCTCAGGCAGTCTTCCTGTTTAATTTGTATTTTCCCTACCCTTAGAGACTTTGTGTGCAGATGTTTCTCTAGATTTACAGCTCGAGAGGATACTAAAGCTGGAGATAGGGTGAGGCAGGGTGACTTTGAAGCACTGGTTTTCATGTGTTCTAAGAGAGCATCTCAGTTCAGTGGCTTTAGCCTGGTCCCTGTGAACACTCCCAGATGCCACCAGCTTGTGCCTTCTCCTGAGTTCTAGCTCCTTGTCTCCAGCTGACCTCTGTACAGACTACATCTTTCTCCAAAGGTGCTTCATAGCCCTCTTTTGTCAAATGCCGCAGTATGTCCCCGCTCAGTTGGCTAAGTCTTGAAGCCTTGCAATCATCTGTGCCTTCAGACTGGACTTCATAGGTGTTTTCCAAAGTGTGACCAGGATGCTCCAAGGAAAGCAGGACTATGAGTTACACCAAAGACCAGGAAGTCCTACGGTTAACAAACCTGGTAAACAGTGGTTAACCCAACAAACTCCAAACTTACTTAACCACGGGATTCTTCTCTGTAATTCCGATTGCTTATCCTTAGAACTAGTGTCTTGTAAAACTTGCTTTGAAAATGTTGATCTTATCTATGTGTGTTGGGAAGTCGTTCCCTCTGAAGCTGAGGCTGAGCTCCAGGGTAGCTTTCATGTGGTGATCTGTGTAAAGAGAGTCTCTG